TATCACTTCTTTCTCAAGTGGAGTGTTTACACCTTGCTGTAACATTTGAACTTTCACAAGAGATGTAATAATTTTGATAATAAAATTCTTAACCATAATAATCATAACGTTGAGAACTTCTTTGTCTATTTCTGTGACCTTGCCTTGCCTGGTTTTCATAACTCCATTTCCTTACCTGTAGAGAGCAAGGTGGACCCACATTTAGGAGGGTGTGCTTTTGGTGGAGTTGTTTTGCCATAATGGGGCAAGGAATGTGAGCTTATCTTCCTTTAGCCTTTTATGATTAGGGCTGGTCTGCAGCAGTGGAACTGAACATTGCACTTGAACCAGACTGGAGTTCCTGACCTTGGCCTCATTCATTCAGCAACTATTTATTGGCCTTTTTCTTTCTCATTCTAAAACAAGTCCAGGCATTGTTTTTTGTGGTAAGTTTATACTGATTAAAATGGGGCATGGGCATTGGCAGAAAAGCTCTCTGCTCTCGTGGAGCTTATATTCTAAAGCGGGGTGAGAACTAAACCAATCCATAATTTCAAATAGTTATTACCATGTTTTGTTTCATAGTAGATATGTACCTAGGGAGGTTGAAGAGGCCACTCTAGATTGGTTGATCAGGGAACATCCATGAGGAGTTGGCGTTTAAGCTGAGACCTCAGTGATAGGTAGTCATGGGACTATATGAATAAAGATCCTTGCTGGGGAGTTACAGCAGCAAGTGTAAAGCTTCTGAGGAAGGAAAGACTTGGTTAGGATATAGTGAATGACCAGAGTGGGGAAAGAGAGCAGATACCCAGGAAGGTAGGAGTTGGATCATACAGAGCAGGGGTCAGCAAACTTTGTGAAGGGCCAGATGAGAAATATTTAGGCTCTGCAACTATTTAACTCTGCCATTGCAGTACAAAAACAGCTGTAAGCTGTATATGGCTGTACTCCAGTAAAACTATATTTACAAAAATGCAGCGAATCAGATTTGGCCTGCAAGCTGTAATTGCTGGTCCCTGATATAGAGCATGTGGGTTTAAAGAATCTGGATTGTAAATGCAGTGGGAAAGTCACTGCAAGGTTTTAAGCAGAGCAGTCACATGGTCTAATTTATGGTTTGTTGGTTAGTTTTTTTAAATTGCTCTGTTTTGATCCTGTTGGAGGAGAGAGAAATAGACACCAGGAAACCAGTTTGGAAGCTATAGCAGTTATTCCAGCGATCAGCAATACAATGATGGCTTCTACTAAGAAGGTAATATCAGGGATAAGGAGAAATACTTGGAATCAGAGTATGTTTTACAAGTAAACAGCAGTGCTTGCTGATGGATTAGTGTGGCAGCATTTTGTTCTAACATTAGACAAGTATTTACTGAGATCTGAGACTACATTTTGCTAAGCACATAAGGGATTCAAAGATGAAAAAAATGGTATCCATTTTGTTAAGTAGCTTAGGAAATAACCAGCTGGAGACATAATAAAAACAATTGTCTTTTTAGAAAACTTTTCCAAAATGCCTATAGGAATACCTAGATAACCTTCCATCAGCCTAAACTAAATTCTACCTGAGGTAAGAAGAGAATAGGTTGCATAGTCTTCTTTAAAAAGCATTTCCATATTACAGTTTCTTACTTGGTCTCATAATTCTGTGGTGAAAGCAAGTCAGATGCTAGGATTTAAAGATGAGAAACTGAGGCCTAGTGCAATATTCCATCTGTACCACAGGGCTTCTGATTATGAATAAGCCCATCTAATTTTTGCCAGAATTGGAAGGTTATGTTCCATCATTGTTTACTAAACACTGTGTAGTGGACTATGGATAAAGTGCTAGTGATATGAAGGTGATTAGGACAGCCAGCTACCAATTAGAAATCAGTAGTCTATTTGTTATAGTTATCAAATACCTACTTTATTACTGGGTACTTTGATATGGTATAAATGTAAGAAGCTGAACAGTGTTAAAGAAGTAAACTAGTACAAAGTGCACCTTATATAAGACTTTACAGTTTACCAAACTTCCATTTAATGTCATCAGCTATCCCGTTCACACTTAACATATATTATTCCCATTTTTATAATTTTCAAATGAATTTCAGAGAATATAACTTAGGTCTAAGATTTCTGTCTGCTAAATGGCAGACCCAAACCAACAGTCTTGGAAATTTTGCAGTTTAGGAAATGAGAGACAGCTAGAGATGCTGTGAAACTCTGAGTAGAAATCATTTAACTAGCTGAAAAAAGAGTATATCACTCCCTTTAATACCTTAAAAATAACACTCTGAACCAATATTACTCCAATAAACTTAATTTAAAAAAAAAAAAAAACACTCTGGTCTTTTGGGCCCTCAGGCATTAGTTTGATGGTCCAGGGTTCTCCGTTCAGCATTTTTCCCCTGTAGGGGAAAAAATGCACAATTGTCCACATGAAGTTAGGCCACTTGCTTTGAAACAACACTATCAATTTATTAGCCAGAGCTCATCAGCCTCCATAATCTATGAGGCTCAGAAAGATAAAGGAGTTTGCCAGGGTTCTTATTATACCTTGTGCTAAAGATTGCTAAGGGAAATAGCTGAAAGAAAAGCATAGTTATGGAAGGAGATGGTGTTCCCCTATATTTTTTACCCGCTTCTACGTTAAAAGCTTACCCAACTGAGATTCTGAGGTAATAATTTTGGATATTTCTCAAATCCCCCCATAAAAGCACACACAAGAGTCATGATAGCAAAACAAAACCTTGGGCAACGTTACAGGAAAACTACAGTATTCCCATGAGCCCTAAAACAAAAGGTGGTTAGAAATAAACCACCATTAGTCACAAGACTTGCATGGTATCACCTTTTCCAGAGGGAGCAATGGAGCATCTGATCTTAGAACATGAAACAACAAATATTCATTTGCAAGTTCAGCAAGCCAATTTGAGAACAGCTAAAACTGGGTAAGGTTTGCAATGAGTAAAATGGACACATGGTTAGGTCAAGGGTCTAGAGCCTTCTGGGCTCAAAAAAAATCTTAGCAGCAAAGCCCCCAGGACACAGCTCCTCTTTGAAAAGATACTCCTAATAGAATCCAAATTGAGCAAGACAGTCAAAATAGAGATGGATGTAAGGGCGGGCGGGGGGGGTCGTTTCACATTAAAGTATTTGTGAATAAGTGAAACTAGGATTGTCCCTTTAAATCCAGGGAAACAATTAGACTTAAATGTGTAAGCATCTTCTGTGCTGAATTTAAACAGCTATTGTTTGTACGGTCCATATTTTAATATTTTACATAAAAAGAAGTACTGTAGAACCTTGAAACTAGAAAAACTCAAATCATGTCTCGAAATTACAGGAAAACTTCTATAAAAATGGAAAGGGTCGAAACCAAATGTCAAAGGAGCAGAATAATATCACCACAGACAATAAAAGCTTGCAAAAAAGACATGCAGATAAATATAAAGTGACATCTCCAGAAAGTAAGAATAGAAGGGAGCTTCCTCAACTTAATAAAGAATAGCTACAGGAAACCTATAGCTAACATTATACTTAGTGGAGAGAGACTGGA